GTGATCTAGCTGTGGTTCTCACTTGTTTCGAGTGACAGTATTTCTGATGATGCTCTCTTCGTATCTTTGGCGTGCTGCATTTCCTCCAAAACCCAGGAAGGTGGAAACATAAACACGATAAACGTGCTCTGTGCGATGTGCGTCACATCCCAAGTTGAACTCGGCGAGTAAGTTCTTGGCGACTTCCTCCTGAGGAACAAAAAAAAATCAGCCTGGGAATGATGACACCTTTATAATATACCAATGCATATTCTTATCTGTTTAACATTTATAGATGACAGTGGTGCTCACATGCAACACATTAATTAATACAGGAGGTCGCCTATGTTTGAGGCGGCATGTCTAGTTTAATGTATCTCAAAAGATCAAAGACACCAGATGCTGAAATTATCTGACACGACAGGGAAAATTCATTTGTGCATCATGCAGGGTAAAGCAAAATATGAGAACAATTAGGAAAAGCAGTGTATGCCAAACATGTTAATGTCCATAAATCACAATAGTAACAAAAATGTTGACACTGACAATTTCTGTTGCATTTGATGATCTCTATGTGAATGATTTGATGTTCTCAGTCCAAAAATCCTGCTATTGAGTCATGCAGCAGGCTTACAGTATGCCTTCAATAGTGATGAATGGAGAGCAGATCATCTCCACGGGACAAAAATGGTGCATACAGGGTTTTAACCAGGGAATGACAGAGATCGGAAGGAGGGAGAAGAACAAAGGGTGAGTGACAAAAACCAAAGACAGCACAAAAACAGAATTGGTCGTGGATAATAACCTGCTGTGGAGAAGCAAAGCTTACAGTTTTGGGCACTTCGTATGCGATCTGTGTGGAGACCCCGCCCATGTCCAGGACACCAGCAGTTCTTTTCCTCACCAGCGCCTCCTGCTGATCACTGCCTGGGACATTTACCTCCACTACAGCTTCGCCATCTTGAAAGAATGACAGGAGAGGTGACAGAGTTACACAAGGAGAGTGTATCATGCGATAAGAGTTTTACTACGTATTAGTGTGGTAGACAAAACTACAAAGTGCTTTTTAAAATGGCACATTGTTAAAACACTACTTGCTTGGCTACTTACCATTGTGCACATGGTTAAACCTTCCGAGGACAAAGTTTATCCCAATCCATGCATAGACACCTAAAACCAATGAAAACCAACAGTTAGGTTAGCATCTTCAATCTTGCGCTACTTTTAAGTTATGGTCTACAATACAGTGGAAAATCTTTCAAAAAAATGCAAATTTGTTCCCTTTGTTAATTTGTTATTGTAACAAGTGTCAGGAAATCTGTAAACATCAATGAAGTGTTAAATCAAACTATGGCATTATGTTAAATATGTTCTAACAAAATCAAAATGTTTCATAATGAATCTATGTGAAGCTGCAACTGCAATACATTTCAGCTGAGCTTGCTTCCTTTCTGTTCTTATCATTCCCCTTACTGACCTTCCTGTTTTCCAGAGATCACTTCCACATGGGAATCAGAGAAGAGGAAATTAAAGTGGACTGGGATGTCTGTTCGCAGATCCTCAAGAAGTGCTTCTTGTTGACTGAAATAAAACCAGAGAAACGTCATCAGAAAATTCACGTCATATAAAATATCAGCACTTTTACCATTTCAGTGTAACGTCGTATTTTTTAAACCCCCGGTATGAACATTTCTTGCAGCTGTAATTACATGTGGAGCTTCTGGGGGTTGTGCATGTTTGCATTACAAGATGAGGCTCATGAAACCCGACTGTACCTTTCAGGAAGGATTCGCATTCCAGCTGTGCACAGGATGTACAAGGGTGTTTCTTGGTGCTTATTTTTGGGGATGTGTTGGGCTGCAAAGCTCAACAGTGGATAGAGATAATCGCTGGCTTTTTCAGGTGTTTTAGCCAATTCGGAGATACCTAGAAGGAAGAAAACATTTAGACAAAAACATATTTTATATAGTGGGTAAAAAACTAGTCTTACTCTATATTTAATTATTATTTAAACAGTGCTAATTGTTGTGTATCTAATGCTCATACTCTCCTTTAATGGCTGTTTTTAAGCAGCCAAGCTCTGCAGATCTTACCTGGTTTAATCTTCATGACGACCGGCTTACGGTGTTGATCTCTCATTTGACGAATGTCCAGCAATTCATGGGGATTACCATTGTGCCGGGGCCAGCAGTAAACAAACACCCTGGAGCCGCTGCTGCCACAGTCCACCACCAGGCCATAGTTCAGGTTGGGGTTGCTTGTATCTGTTACGTCCACATCAGTCACCCTTGCCAAGTGTCTTTTGGACAACAAAGAATTGTTAAGACAATGCTGTCTGTGTACATCATGATTATGTTGACACTGAGCGGCTGTGCAGCAGTTTACCTGTGGAAGTGATTTTCCTCTCTAGTCCAGTTGGCGTGCCCCTTTCCAGTGACAAGCAGCAGGTAAAGCAGTCCTATGAGGCAGAGCACGAGGCCGATGAAGAGCAGCTGTCTGAGGGAAGGTACGAGGAGCCGAGGAAGAACCTGGGATGACAAGCTGAAATGCCATGGGGCTGGGAAAAGGCACGAAAAGCTGATCCTGTCAAGGGATGCAAGAAAGGAGAGCCTGAGCAAAAAATAAGCCATAAAATGTGACAGATATGAAACTTTCAATATCTGATTTACAGTCCCAAAGATGACAGCAGACCAACCTTCCCATGGTGCAGATTGTCTTCTACTTGGTGGTGTGCTTGATTTGTGAATCAAGAATCAGTCAGCTGAAGATGGGAGCTTTGGCTTGTTCCACGGCTCCATCCAGTTTTCTTCATGTGCCATCATAACCTTTAGGGGAAATGTCCGAAATGTAAACATTTACAAGGCAACTTCTTAGGTCTCGTGCGAGAAAGGCCTAGCGTTGGTCGAAGTGCTCAGACATGTTACGGTATGTTCTCGCCTCGACGAAAATGCCGTAATGGACAATGTAACGCATTTAAACTGTAAACAGAAATGAACCAAACTGAAAGGACGCTACTTTAGTTACAAAATAAAAGTCGTAAGGTTAGCTAACGTTGACGGTTGGCACCGTGTAGAGTAACTGGTGCATGTGTGGCTGTTGGAGCAGCGAGCTAAAACACCAGCATTTCACATACTGTTAGTAATTATCAGTGTCAACACAGTTTACTTATATGTTCGCGGCCTTTAAAATATTTCATACTTACTAATAAAAATGTGAAAGTCCCCTCTTCTCTGGAAAAACAGACATTTCTGCGCAGCCAGATGCTAACCGCTGGCTAGTGTTTAGCGAATATGTGGCAGGTCTCCAGTGAGTGACGTGTTCCCGACCACGGTGCGCTTGGTTTTTTGTCTCCGCGTTGCCCGAACAGGCAGCAAAATAAAACTCACCGCCCAACGTTCCTCTTCTTCTTCTTCTTTCAGTTAATAGCCGGGCGCAGCCGAGATGAAGAGGCAGTATCGCCACCTACCGGCTGGAATTTCCACTGACTCCACCTTTTGTTATACTGATGTTCTATGATCTATCTCTAATTTCTTCTACGGTTTTTACCATTACAATAACTATGTATATATCTATTGAGAGATATATTTACGTATTATATATTGCTTAATTTTTGTTAGGTAATATTTGCTTTTGTTACATTATAGAAAATAAGGGTGTGGATTTTGTTTCAGTGTGGATTTTGTTTATGAATTACATAAATTTTTATGCACCAGTTTGTGCATTTTCTGCATCAATTTACAAGGTAAATGTCTTTATTTTTAATTCTGCTGTCATGATTTAATTGAAGGGGAATAGAGTTGCAAATTATAAGCACTTTCCTTATTGGTTATTAGTAAAATTGCCAATGAATTCATTGATTAATCATGATTTTGAAAAACCATAAAATCTTAACTTATACCAGACAATACCAAATGTGTTTTTTTTTTCCCTTAGTCAAAGCTCCCAGCAACATACTGCATATACTTTGACAGTGTTGCATAGCCTATCGACTGATCGATTAAATAAATGTCACATGTTCAGTTAAATTATGAACGACTTATTGATTGATTGTGAATTAATTGTTATCATCTCTGGAGGGACAAATGCACCTGTCCGAAATACTGAGGGCTCCTGTGGTATAATAATGCAGCTGTAAAGTGTTTTATGGTTTATAGTGAAATAATGTACAAACCATTTGTTGTCTTTTTTCTCTTACTTTTTTGTACATTCATTTCTCTTACTGTACAGCTGCATTATTATAACATACATTTATCATGACCTGTCAAGCCACCTTTTTTCATTTGTATGTGTCATCCCTGTATTTCCTGTTTGATTTTTGTAACCACTAACTGTGTCATCTTGTTTCAGATCCCATGTTCTGTCAAGTTCCCTTCCTTTGTGACTACTTTCCACACCCTAATGTGTTTCACTTGTGTCTCAATGTGTTTCACCTGTGTCTCAATGTCTCCCTTATCTTAGTTTATCTAAGTCCCTATCCTCCCCTTGTTTGTTGTCAGATTATCTTCACTGTTGAGTAAGAGGTCCAGTGTTTCCCTAATGTTCCTTGTGAGTGTGTTTTTGACTGTTTCTGCCTCTGACCTCCCCTTTTGCCTATCAGACTGAATCTTTTGCCTGTTTGACTGACTACCCGTGTACTGACCTGAGCCTGATCGAAGACGCTGGACTTTTATCTGAGTCTGTGAGTCTGCTTTGTGAGTCCTTCACCAGTTTGTGTTTGACAACATTTTATTATATATTACATTGTAAACATTGTACAATTTGCTCTGGCAATAGTGTACAATATTATTGTCAGTAAAAGCATATTTGAATTGGATGTTTGCCTGTTAAATGCACTTTTAAACCTTAAACTTAAAATTTTCTCTTCTTCGGTGCTGCCTCCGACCCGTCCCTTCTGAATAGAGGAACAATAACTGTCAAGGAACAAACTTTTTTGTACTAAAATATCATTTAAATACATAGCACTTTGGGTACCCTCTGTTCAGTCCATATCTAATTTTAAATCAAAACACTGGAAACAGTCATTTCTAATGTGATTTTATACTGACAGTGTACTGAAAAGGTCATAATACACAGAAAAGTGTTCCTCATAAGTCACATGTTGTCTGTTGAATTCGCCATCATCTTAAAAAACGTGACAGTCAAAAGATTTACTTGAAATACAGCACAGATGTAGCTGGTAGTTCATTCAAGGCACTTTAGAATTAACATGTCTGATGTGAGACAAGTATTAACTACATACTGCAACCTGTCAGTGCCAAATACAGTCAGTAAAATCAATCTGTGTTGGTAAGGCTTAAGTTACAAAAATAAGAAAGACTTGTAGTTATACAAGCTAGTATACGAATGTAACTGACACTGTAAAAATCATGCATTGTATTTTACTCTAATGATTTAAAGCTTCACTCATTCACCTTAAGCAGTGCTGCTCGTGTGTTGCAAGCTGCCCATCTCTTCACTACGACCAGACAACTTGGACCGTACTGAATGTCTTGCGGTTCATCCACTGGTGCTGACTGATTTGCCAGCAGCAACTCAAGTCTACATACTTGAGTCTCCGGCTCCGTTGCTGAATACTTAGCACTGTTATCACCGTCACGTCTGTCCGTGACAGGTCGACGCGTTGTACCCGACCAAGTGGCCAGGGCGCTGGTGAGCCCATGTACAGTACATCCTGTAAAACGCAGTCCAGAGGGCAGGGCAGGGAGACCAGAGAGAGGTTTTCCAGTAAAGGAGAGCCAATCAGAAGACACTTGAGTACCCTCCTCAGGGACATCCAGAACATGATGGGCTTCATTTGGTTGTGCTCATAGGAGAAACTTCAGAGAAAGAGGAGACACAAAGAAGATGGATAACAATAAGAGTGTTATTTCAATAGGAAGCAGTTGTCGTAATAAGTATTTTTTTAACCTCAAGGCCTTCATCGAATCATGACTTTAAATACATTAAATTCAAAATGATAAGAAATAAAGATGTATGAACAGATTAGTTGCGATATTGGTACATTACACAAAGACAGCCGAGATAAAAGTTGCTGGATTCATGTTCCTGTTCCTCTTAAAATAGATACAGGGCTCATCTACCTTGTTGACTCTTGTGAACAGTATTGGTTCTCATTATTCTAGTAATAAACATCAATGTTTCTAGAGGAAACATTTTACTTCCCTATCCAACCTCCACAGCGAATCCAGAGGTCAGGTTTGGTTGACCAACAGTGTCTATGGGGCTTGTTCAGAGGAGTAGATGCTTGTTTCCATTTTCATTTTACTTAGTTAGATAATAGATACGTATTATGCCCATGAGACGCCATTAATTCCTTTGCAAGGCTCATCATGGCCGCGTCAAAGATATGAACATGTGCAGTCTGTATCAGGAACAAGCAGTTAGTCCACTGACTCCCAAACGAGGGTCAGTAGTTCCTATAGTGTACCTCATTAGTAGCCTTACTTGAGTGAGAGGGAGCTGAGGTAAGGCAGCTTTGGAAGATCCCTGTCTTCCCTCTGATCCTCCTCTTCTTGTTCTTCCTGTGGGGTGCTTGGGGGTTCGGCAGAAATGTGCAGGTCTCTGAGTCGGGGACAGGCATTGACGAGCTCCAGCAGAGGGGTGTGAGGGCTAGTTTTCACCCCCTCAAGGGTGAGAGAGACCAAAGAGCAGCCTGCAACATGCAAGGCAGGAAGGAGATCCACTAGAGGGCCTGGGTAGTGCACCGAAAGGCTCCGCAGCTGGCCTGACCACGCCTGGAGGCCTGCAGCTAACACAGACCCCTGGCTTCTTCCTCTAGTGTTTTCATCATCATCAACGTTCACAGATACGGTGTGGATATTAGGACATGCTCGACTGAAACTGTCCAGAGAGTTGCATGATAGGCCTTTGACCTCCTTGAGACGCAGGATGAGGCGTTCATCACCTGACAACACTCTTCCTCTCCTTTTTTCCCCTGCTTGGTTCTGAGAGCAACTTGGCCCTTCATCTGTGCTCTCATCTTCCTCACTCTCACTACCATACTCCTCCCACAACATCCTCTCCTCCTCTTCATCCTTATCTTCTTCCCCTGCTTCTGCTTCTTCTCCCTTTTTCCTGCAACTGTCCATGCCCTGTCTGTGCCTCCACTCCCTCCACACCTCTTCCAGCCTGGGAACTCCTTCTCTGTCAGTGAACTCTTGTGTCTGGCTGAGCTGTCTCTGCTGGATGAGACGGGAAGCCTGCGCAAGGCCCTCCATGGCCACTCTCGTCAGGCAGGGCAGGGAGAGGAGGAGGTAGGCTGCTGCCGCCACAGGGTCCCCCTCTTGTTCCCCAAACCCGATATCCAGAGCCAGCAGGCTGCTGAGGGGGAGAGGAGACAAGGGTGCAGAGGAAGAGGAAGAGGAAGAGGAGGAGGTGCTACGAGGTGACGCAGAAGAACAGCTGGAGGATGAAGAGAAAGCCCCACCTCCAAGAAGAAGTAGTGCAGCAGGGGAAAGGAAATGACAACGTGATACGTCCAGATGGCGAAGCAAACGACAGCGGTGGGCAATCGTGCTGATGACACATCTGTCACATAGTGTACCAGCCAGGGTGAGTGAGCGCAGGGCAGGTAGACGGCAGAGGGTTTCAGACAGGACCTTTGAGGGCACCTGCTGTGCTCCAGATAGATCCAGACTCCACAGACCCTGAGATTAAAAGGAGGAAATATGAAGACATTATAGAATTACAAGCCAAACACAAGATATCAAGAGGAACAAAACAAGTTCTATCGTAATCAAACTGTGTACATCAGTGGTGATACATCCAGGCATATATTTAGCATTTTACTTAGCTGTAGTAATCTGCCAAACTGTGGAAAACACTGACAAGATTGAGTGAAAAACATAAAAGTTAGACATGTTTCTCTCTTAAAATAACTGATCCAGCATCTGTGCAGGTGACTCCATCTCACCTGGCAACGTGCAGCAATGTGGGCGCAGAGTGCTGAGGTGACCAGACCAGGACATTTATCCAGAGACAGGCCACGGAGTTGGGGGACCAGCAGGAGGTGGAGGGCTGCCCGGGACATTTGCTTTCTGGCACACAGCAGCCCAGTCAGCTCCTCAACCAACTCACCCGCTATATGGAAAGTAATAGATAGAAAGAGAGTCAGACAGTTACAGGCAAACTTTTTAATTTGCTGAAACACTCAATCTCTTGCAGTACATTGTTTAAGCCCACATGCTTAAAGGATGTGAGACCTGTGAGAGAGGGACATTCAATACGCCCTCAAACACTCACGCAGTAAGTTGAAAGGCCCCATGATGTATCTGAATGAATAATGATCCAGGTAGTTGTCGGCATAGTCCTTCACCCACACCTCCTTCATGTTGTCAACAAGGCTGAGCAGACACAGCCGCGACAAAGAAAGGACAGAGCCATCTTCATCTGTCTTCCTCCAGTTCCCCCTCCACCTTCTCAGCTTCTTGCGCCCGGGCTGAGCCTTCGCCCCACGACGTTCACCTGAAGCTCGGAACAGAGGCATTGTCCAGTAGGAAGTGGACGTTGGATCTGTGTGATGGGGAGGCTTCTCCTTTGCTGCTGGTGGGCTGAGCTAACAGGATGGAAAGGAGCTAAATATATTGATGATAACAAAACACATAACAAATGTTTTTATAGTTTAAGGGACAGAGGTCAAAACATTTAGGAATCACTGTGTCATTTATATGCTCTTCACAGTTTTTTTTATCTGTTTCAAAAATATCATAGACTGTGTAACCCTTCTTATACGTACTATTCATTAGTGGTGGAAAGTAACTATGTACATAAACTCAAGTACTGTATGTAAATACAATTTTGAGGTACTTGTACTTTACTTGAGTATTTCCATTTTCTGGTACTTTGTGCTCCTACTTCACTACATCTCAAAGGGAAATATTCACACCAGTACATTTGTTACTTCACAGATTTAGACTGATAATACAAATAATAATAAATTGATTACACTATTGTATTAATAAGACTTTATTTATCAACAGAAATTTACAAACTACCCAGCAGCGTATTAAGTAGCCTTGCCGAGCCGAGCTACACATTTACCAGCTGCAGTGATGGACACATGAATGCATTACTGATGATAATACAGTTATATAACTGATTATATGTTATTCTGAAATGGGCCATTCTGCATGAGTACTTTGACCTGAAGTAACCTAGCCTTCATGTTCACACCTACACTACTGTACTTTAACTGAAGTAACTTTTTGAATGCCGGACTTTTACTTTACTTTTACTATACCTAAGAAGCCTAACTCTTCCTCCACTGCTACTGTATAACTAAGTTACTGAACTCAGCTGAGAATAGAGACAGACCGAAGACAGGGAGATATATATATATATATATATATATATATATATATATATAAATGTGTACAGTGTCCAGTAAATAAGACTTCCTACTGCAGTTAGACTTACCTGCCAAATGTCTTTGAGACTTTTACGTCCAATAATCAAATAATAAAGACTCCTGTGAGTGTAAAGCAGAAATAATGTGCAAAACCTTTGCTCTACATGACTCACAGCAACACTTCCTGGCTCTAACACTGGGGGTGGCGTAAAACTCCTGAGATTTGTCTCGCAGGTCCAACTTCCTCTTCGGCTGTGCGGGCTGTCACCAATTATTTAAGGGACAGCCTTGAGCTCCAACCTGAGTCTCAGTCCTAAATAAACCACACATTAGTATTCTATACATGTTGCCAATTTAATTGTTGAAACAGCAGTGCAAACCAAACGGGTTTTGTCTTCCTTAAAGACAAGACTCAGGCAATAATACCCCGGTTCCTGAAGTAGCTGGTCGGAGCTTGGTCAAGGCTAATAGGCATTTTAAAAACGTTTCATATACACGCTTAGCAGGCTGTTTAATTATCCATAAACGCTTTTAATCCATTTTATTTCGCAATCTCTAATGTTATATAATGCCTGGTTAAAAACGGCATTTAAAATGAGAACATTATTTCTATGATTCCCTAAGATTTAAACACTGCTTAAAGGTCAAGTATGAGGGATTTAGTGGAAGTTAACATTAGCGGTGTGAGGTTGCAGACATATAAGCTGAAACTTCTCCCATGTGCTAAGTGTGTAGGAGAACTACTGTGTCTGACATGAAAACATGAAAATGCAAATGACCCTATCTAGAGCCAGTGTTTGGTTTGTTCGTTCTGGGCTACTGTAGAATCAAAATGGCAGACTAGAAGAAGAGGACCAGGCCCCTGAAGAAGCAAATTTGGGAATCCTAAGATAGCGAAGGAATGGCCCATTTTTCTCTGCCTCTGATTGGCTTGCCTTGACATTCTTACCCTAACCATAACAAATCCCACTCCTCTTGCCTAAACACTAACCAATTTAATCAACAAAGGCAACAAGTACAAGTCAGTCATAGGAAGGTCATTCCTTCATGATATCCCGATCCTGGGATTCGTAAATTTGCTCCCAGGATGAGTGCCAAGCCTTGAGGCCAATTTTCATAGTGGCCAAGCAGTATAATTACATTGGTCACATGAAGCCACTGAGCGCAGAAATACGTTTCCCATTGACTTACATTGACGCTAAAGAGGCATCTGTAAAACACGTGAATACATTTTTTTTCCAGCAAAATTTATCCCCATTCAGCGGAGTGTTATATTTGATTTGAGGCAGTTGAACTTTTTTGGCTTTATGCACCACTGAGCAGCTTTCATAGGAATGGACAGAGCCTAACCTCCAATGCTGTATCCAGTTTTCTTTACACATCATGAAAAGACTCACTAACGTTACCTATGCAGGTATGAACGGCTCATTCTGAGATAACAGCAACATAACTCTTAGTTTCAAGTGATTATACGCTAATGAAAACAAATTTATTCATATTATATTCTTTCTCTGCCAATAGAGTGCTCCAGGAATGAGTCCTAAAACCTGAAATTGAGTTCGCAATTTGCACTCTTGGTTCACTTGTCTCGAAGTCAATAATTTTTTGAATGGGTTTTTGGTTAGAGATGCTAACTTGCACGTTGGCCTACAGAAAAACATCATCCCTAATGCACTCCATATATCCCTCTAAATCCTGTGCACTGGACCTTTAAATGAAATGACCCAAATATTTTCTCACCCCTGTGGATATTAAGACATCTCAACAGCTTTGGTTGACTGCAAAACAAACTAAAACAAAAAACAGACTTGGTTACCAGGGGCAACATCATTTCATACATAATGAGAACATAGTGCCTTACAGTATGTTGAGGGTTACTTCCTGTTGTCAGAGATATGGCTATGCTTGAGTCATTAGTGAGACCTCCTTGTCCACTTACACCTCTTTTTGACAGTCATGGGCTGACTTGGTTTGGTTTGGGCCATCAGTTAGCGTGGCAGGGATTCATACTAAACATTGTCAAACACTGTCTGATGAGTCTGAAGCAGTCAAGATTTTCTTTAACTTCTTTGCAAATATTTTACAGTAGTTTATCCAGTCTTAGATGTGAGTCTAAGATAGTTCCTGAATACTTGACATTGTCAACTTCATTTATAACCTCACTCTTTATTCTAACCATGAATCTTTCATTTTTGTGTCATTTATGTGTAGAAAAACAGACTGAAACAGTTTTTTTACATTCAGTCTTAATATAGCACACTCAAGCCATTGCGATACAGCATGAAAGGATTCAGTGAGTTGGTCAGCGGCCTTACTAGATGTTCTGGCAGATGTATAAATAACTGTATGTTATGCCCCACCCTTGGGCACCTATAGGTCGAACAAAACGCCACCACTGACCCAAAATAAGACACCTTTAAAACATTCAAACCCATTTGATTTATTAACAAATCCTGCAAACAAGGCAATAAAATCAGTTTAAAATCAATACACCCAGCCAGAAGCTTTTCTATTGAACTTCTGTGAGGAGCCGGTAAATGTCGTCAGCTGTAACTTTTATCAGTTAATCATTCTTTATATCTAAATATACAGGATGAAGGAAATAGCCTGAAAATTCCAGCTCTGGCACAGCACCATGCAGAGATCCTGATGACCAAACTCCATGAAGTGTGTTTGGTCCTTACTAAGCAGGTATTGTACACACTTTCATCTTGGTATCTGTATTTCCATCTTTTTGTTTCAAGCATTTTCATTTGTCGACCTCTGTCTATGAGTGTGCACTGCAGTCATGGCTGATGATGTTTATTCTTACGATACAGGTGAAAAACCTGCACTCTGCAGTGGCCTGTGCAGCCATGAACACTGTGGCTGAGCTCTATGATCACCTCTAGAGGGCCATGGACCCGGAGGTGGAGGGAACAGGCCGGGCCTTGCTGCTGAAGCTGATGTCATCTACGCATGACTTTATTCAGCAGCAGGTCAATCTTACACTGGATGCCATGGTGGCAAACTGCAGCCATTGTTGCATCCTGAGCGGTCTGTTGAACACAGGGCTGAGGTAAGAGGAGAGAAGAAGCAGCATTCATTTGATAAGCTGAAACATTTAAATGAAATTAAATAAGATAATAAGACATAGTCACCTGATCTGGTTGTCTCATAACCCCCTGTCTTTGTCCCTCCTCAGCCACCATTGTGTTGCGGTTAGAGCCAGCACAGCTGGCTGACAGCCTTGGAGCCTTCTTGCTGTTTCTAAGATGTGCGTTGATGGTGCACCAGACGTCAGGTGGGTTATCAGCTCCTTTAGATTTAGTATAACACTTTACAATGTGTAATGCTGTCATCTTGATTATTATACTGTAACTTAATGTTGAATTATTCTGTACATAAGACATCTATCAACATGTCTTTCCATCCTGGGTCTTCCTGAGGATTCTTTAATTTTGTTTCCATTAAAGTTTTCTGTGGAGGAGCCTTTCCTCATCTGAATGGAGAGTTTAAGGACAGACAATGTCATGTACAGACTGTAAAGCCTCTTGATGCAAATTTGTAATACTGGGTTTTAAAAATAAAACTGACTTGACTTAATAAGCCTCAGTAAAGTGGGATGGATCTTAACTTAACGTGGATGCATATGAATGTTGAAAATAGATGGCATAAAGTTGTTGGTTAAAATGCAAATTAAAAAAACTTGAGCAATGCTGCAAAATAATGACCGGCAAACATCATAATTCAACAGAAAGAATCAGTTTAACATTTGAGGAAGGCAAGACATTTATCAAAAAAGACAGTGCTACAGCTAATGAACACGACTAAACTTATGGAAAATACAGATGCAGTAGTTTAGTTTAGTTCAGTTTAGTTTAGTTTATACTTACTCTTGATATGGACATCACAGTAGCATTAGAAATGTACATTTATGCACAAGAACCAGATGTCCTGTGATAAGTGTTTGTTGTGAAATGCCTATTTGCAACACCTGTTCACAGGATACCTTTTTTTTTTTAAAGAAGAAAATTGGAATATTGAAAAGAAAAGAAAATGCTTCCACAAACACATACACAGAATTAAAAGAAAACATCAAGAAATCCATTTACAAACCACATCCACAAATACCACAAATACTTCACCAAAGATAAATCCACAAATAAACACATAGAATACATCCAAGTATCCATACACCAACATACAAAATACTGGTGTGTCTACTGTGACATTAAGTGTACCCAGTGAGCACCATCTAGGATATTGACTGTGATTTCTGGTTCAAAACTGGTTAATAATCACTACACATATCACATTGCAAAAATTGTATATATTGTATATATATTATATCTTATCAGATGGCACATTGAAATGTGTCTTAATGATGAAAATACATGTATTTATCATGTAAATACATATAAATTGTATTGTCAGTAATATGAGTCAATAAGTTAATGGCTGTGCTTGATCCAATTTATTTATTTATTTATTTTTTTTCTTCTACTTGTCTGCATTGGTCTTCATAGCTTAGCGCCACAAAGGGTGTAAGCTTCTTGTGAAGACTGATGCACTGTTAATCTTGCAGTCAAGTATTTTATACCCATAATGCATGGTTGTGACCGTCACCCACCTTCCCTGGAGACTAGCCTAACAGCCTTTATTGGAAAAACTTCCTTATGATTCTCCAATCCCTGACGGAGAAACATTAACCCTACACCGTGAATGTGAATGTGAGTGCCAAAAGTGTGATGTGGTGCATTAAAACTGAGGGACATAGGAGACAGGTGGGGGCAAGGCTGATGGCTACAGCACACTGCTGTCCTGCAGCCCGTGCAGCCATAGGCACCTGGAACCTGTTCCCATCTGTCCCACAAGATGTAGGTGTATGTGGTGCTTTAAAATTGGAGAACAGATAAGGATGGGCCGGGGTCCAGCATGGAGGGCTACCGGACACCACTGTCCCATAGCCTGCCCCATCATGAAGCCCCCCAATCCATCAGTGGTCTGAGTGAGAGTGAGTGTATGTGGTGCATTAAAACTGTGGAATGTGTGGTGAGTGAACTAAATGTGGTTTAGGAGGCCAGACCAGTGTAGGCCCGGCCCGAGGGCTGGAGGGATGGATGGGAGGGGCTAGAAGGGGAAGGGCGGGAGCGGAGCGGAGCGAAACAGCCCCCCAGGGGGGACTGGCCACGCCGCC